GGCACATACAACCGGAGCAGCTCGGCGCCGCTGCAGCAGCGCTGGGCGCTGCCCTGATTGACCTCTGGAAGGCGGGCGGCGCGCAGCGGTCTGAGGTGGCCGACGCAGCAGCGTCCCTGGAGGTCCTGTGTGGCGCGGCGCACACAGCGTCGGTCGCGCTGAGGGCCGCCGCGGGCGGCGCCGGCGGTGCGGGCAACGCGGGCGGCGCGGGCGGCACGGCGGCGCAGCCGCAGCAGTAGCAGGCGGCACGGGCTTGTTCCGGGACCGATGGGCGTGTTACAAACCCTCGCCACCGTTGGTGTGCGGGCGGGAGCAGGTGCACTCGTGCAACGGCAGGTCCTGCCGTTGCGCGCGCGTGTGCCTGCACGCGTTCCGTCCAAACGTGCCCATGCCCACAAATGCCGCTGGCCCTCGGCCCCGAGCGGGGGTGACCAGATTCCTGGCTGCCGGCGCGGCGAGTAAGCCGCAGAAGCTTCCAAGTTTCAAGAGCAAAGCAACTCCTGCAAACGCAAAACAACAGCTATGTGCAAAGTCCTGCAGATCAACGAGGCTGTGGAGCGACAGGGTGCGCAAAGGAGGGAAATACGCTTGCATTGGGCGGGCGGCCTAGAATGAGCAAGCGGAGCGCAAATCCATGCCAGCAGCACGGGGCGTCGTGCCGGGTGTAGCGCGGCGCAGTTTTGGGAGCGCACGCGGCGCAGATAGGTTGGCTGCGGGCCCGCAGGGGCCGTCGGCCTGCTTGCCCCTTAGCCTGCCTGCGTGCTGTGGGTTCCTGGAGTTTGGGGCAGCGGTATGGGGATTCGCAACTGCAAAGCGCAGCGGGTGCTAGAAATTGGAGAGAGGGGGGGCAAGGGCCGCGGCGTCTAGCAACACAAGCGTTTGTCTAATCAAAGGGTGCAAAAGGAGCGGGCCGGGCAAGTCGCTGTTCAATATCAACACTGGGAGGCGCGGCGGCAGGCAATGCAAAGCAACACCAAATACCCAGCGCCGCGAAAGCGACGCAAGGAGGGAAAGCAGGGGAGGGCCTATAGCTCAGACCACGTTATTCGAGTGGTGTGAGGGTGATAAAATGCAACGCATAGCACGCTGTTATTATTTAATAGGGGGGAGAGACACAACCAGCGCACGGCGGGGTGCGCAGCTGGCGTCCCCTACTAAGCCGCTGACGGCGGGCAAGCAGCAGCATGGCTGCATGCGCGGCCCCCGCGCCGACTGCGTGGTAGCAGCGCCCTGCGCGCACAGTGTGCCGCGTGCAAAGTGCGACGGGCAAACACTGGTGGGGCTCGGCCGCTGAAGGAAGGGTGGTTTGAGGGTCGCCGAAAGGGCGGCGCAGTTCAAGGGACTGGGCAGATGCGAAAGCGCGTGCGAGAGCGTGTGCATCGGGCGCGGTACCAGGTGCAGGCAGGAGCCCCCCTCGCAGCAACCGGTGCAGCCAGGAGGGGGCCTGTGCGCTGCAGAGCTGTGCTGGCGTTGCTAACAAAGGGGCGGGTGCATCAAAGGTGGCTCCACGTGTGCTGCAGCCCCTGGCGTCCTATCCAGAGGGCTGGTGCTATTCAAACGTTTCAAGAGGAGGCTGTGGCTTTCGCACAAAAGGCAGCTCAGGCACCATTATTCTAGGTGAGCGAAGGGCAAAGGGAACGCTGACCTGACAATCTAGACCCGCGCAGTGGCTCATTAGGTGAGGGGCTGGTAGAGCAGATGGAGCGACGCAGCGCTGTGGGCCGGCACCGCGTCTCTGATAAGCGGCGGGGGCGCGCAAATCGACAGGAGACGCCGGTTCGGCCCGATGCAAACGTGCGCGGGTCGGTACGTGGGGCTCGGATCGGTGGGAGGGCCCATGCACGGGGCCGTCGATCGGTTCTGCTGCGGTGTGCTTCGGGCTGGGGCTTCCCAGGTGTGGTGGCAGGCAGGCAGAGGTTCTGAGGCGTGTACATAATTGCGGTCGTCCCCAAGGGGAATCGGATAGCAATTCACCCGCACCGCGTGGCCGCGGCGCTTGGCCAAGCCGACGGGCGGCCGGCCTTGGGTTGCTTCCTTGTATGTGTATGGGGGGCGCCGCAAGTGCGAGGTGGATGGGTCGCGCGTAGCAAAGCTTCCGCTTGAGGCCTACTGTGCATTCCCCAAGCATGGTTGTCGCATGCCTTTCGTCACCGTTGTCGCAGAACACAGTGTTTCGAAATTGTCATTTGGTACCAGGCAGGCAGGCAGTTGCGAGGCCCACAGAGGCCCCCCAACGCTCAGCCGACGCCGCTTCTTGGGGCACCACTCCACTGGGGCCCGCGCCCGCGGGCGGGCCCCAGTGTTCGCGGTGCGATTTGATGGTATCGGCTCCTTTTAGATCTTTAGAGATCTGATCAGACAGGGGAGGTGCCTCCCAGGCTGCCGCTGGCCTCGCTGGAGTAGCTGGCGCCGCTGGATGCGCAGGCCACCGGCGGCACGCCTAGCTTGTAGCTCAAATTGCTCATGTCGCTGCCAACAGTAGCCAGCACCGGCACGGCCGCGGCCGCCGCCTTGGTGGCCGCCTTCGCGGCCAGCGGCGCGCCGCCCTTGACGGCCACGATGGCCTGGTACTGCAGCGCGCCGCTGCCAAAGGCGCGCGTCATCGTGCGCTTGTTGCGGCCGAGGATGACGCCGTTGACCGTCATCGCCAGCGGGGCGTAGTCGCAGCGGGCGATGCCCTTCAGCATGGCCCACTCAAATTGGCACGCCTGTCGGAGCGGGTGGGAGAGAAGGGGGCGGTGCGGGTCAGGCACCCACGGCGGACAGGGTGCATTGTTTCTGGGGAAGGAAGCGCAGGCGCGGATGTGACTGCGCGAGACAGGCGTGAGCTCTGCCAGCAGCCAGGCGCCAGTCGGCTCGGCAGGCGCGGACCAGTGCAGCCGCTTGCTCCACCGGCCAGCTCCTGTGCGAGCACATGCCCATGCTCCAACGCCCCCACAGGATCCTGAATTCACATGTCGGCATGCATGTGCCGCCGCATGCACAGCCGCACGCACGCCTGCATTCCCTAATCATGTCAACACAGGCACACGCGCGTGCGTATCAGTGCGGTCCACACCCGCCCGCCCGCGGCCCGCACCTTTTTCAAGCACACCAGGGCGTTGCCAAAGAAGCCGCGCGCCCGTGACGTGCGCTCCTCCTGGGCCCCGCGCCTGAGCATCACCTCAGCTATGCTCAGGTCCCAGAAGCCGCGCAGCCGCGAGGTCCAGTCCTCGTGCGCGATCACGTCCAAACCGTTGGCGGCTGCGGACATTTGCACGCGCGCGTGTGCGAGCCCGCGTCGGTGCGGTGGCGGACGCTGCCGCGCCCACGTGCGGCTGCGGGCGTGCCCTTTTGACCTGCCGCGCCCCGGCCTCCTTAATTAGCGAACCCTAGCGGCCAGCTTTGGCGGCGGCCCCGCCCGCAGCGCGCCTGCAAACAAGCTGCACAACGGCACGCCCTGCAGCGTCCCGCCAGCCCCGGCCCCTGCCAAAACACAACCCTCTTGTTCCGGCCACGCTCGCCCACTGCGGGGTCCTACACTCCCCGCACACCCCCTCCC